CACGCGCAGCCTATGTTGCTCTTTCATCATGTGTCTCTATATTTAACGCGACCGTGTCATTGCATCAAGAATTCCGCTAAACCCGACGTCTCCCACAAGGCGATGCGTCAGGACTCTTCGATCGCAGAAGACCCATCGACGGCCGCGGTAACACCGTCGCGTCGGTTAAATCGCGGGGCCCGGTCCCGATACATGGTCGAGTACAGTTCGGCTTACCGGTGAATCAAGAGGGCCGCATGTCGTGGCGACGGCGACGGCGACGGTGGCTGCGACGACGAGGACGCGGCGGTTCACGCGAACGACGGTTCGCAGAGGAAGCAGGCTGGTTCCTGCTCGGCGGCGTCCATCGTAGATCTTGATGTCGCACGAGCACCGATACCGGCGATGTCCTCGAGAGGTCTCCGGCTCAAGGTCACGCGGTCGGGCGAGTTACGAGCCGCGAAAGCCGAGATTCGGCCGGCCACGGGCGTGGCGTTCGCCAAAAAATTCGATCGTGCACTGGCACCGGGCACCGGGCACCGGGCACCCAGCCGTCGACCGAGGAAACGCGGTCGTCGGTTCGCCGATCAGGAATATGATGCCACCTTGGTGAAAGCCTTCGCGAAGAAGAGGCTCCCTTGCCGCGCCGAGTGCCGCTCCCGCTAAGCGGAAGATTATCTAAATAGACTCTGTGCTACCAGAGAGCAGAGAGCAGAGAGGAGAGCGGAGAGAGCCGAGATGCGAGAGCAGAGGGCCGAGAGCCGCGGGAGAGGGAGGACGGGACACCGCGGGGGGAGAGAGGACCCGAAACGAGGTGGTATTTATACGCCGTGTCTTTTGGAAAGCCAGTGGATGCCGAGATCAGGAACATCCCTCTCCGCGGCCTAGGGGAAGGGGCCGGATACCTTCTTTACTGTTTACTGTCTCGGGAATTGGTCCCGGCGCGCGGCGTGGCGCGGCGCGGCGCGCCGATTCCAATCGGGATGCCGCGGAGAACTCGGGAATTCTGCCGAGACCTTTCATGAAACAAGTCTGCTCGCATTCGGATCGTTCTATCATTTTTACGATAGTCCGATTTGTGCTAAAGCGAATCGATTTCTTCGAGCTGTCGCATGGGAAACTCGCTCGATTCCGCGACACGATCGCATAAATGTAAACAGTTTCAGCAAATTAAGCGGAAAAGTATCGCGACGCTCGATTATAATTTCTGTTTATTAACCGCGCGAGCAACAAATCTAAAGCGGAACGAGTAAACGGTCGATAACGCAAAGATCGGGGCACGGCAGCTATTAAATCGAGCTCTATAAAACCTTCGGCTATTGCCGAAGGTACTATATTGCCAGGTTCTTATTCATCCGTGAAAACAGCCGCGGAGATATTCCAGCTACAGGAAGAAAATTAGAATTGTCGTCGAATAAATAACTATATTTCCGCGAGGCGATCGGCGTACGCGGGATTCCTAGATCATCGGGGATTACGTCTGAAAAGATGTGATAAAGTCAGTGACACGGGTCTTCGATAAATTGATTCTTCACGCACGACTAAACAGCGTACATACCTCTACGATGATTACCGCCGAATAATTCACCGCGCCAACAGATTTATATTACGGTTTCCATTACTGTGAAAAGGTTTCCCCCGTATCCATAAATACGAAGGATTTGTTTCACCGATTTGTAATCAGTATCGGAATGAGAAATCTTCAGGCTAATAATCAGATTCCGTTGAACGACACCGATATCGGGAATTGAATATGTATTTATTTGAATAGTTCCACACTTGTCTTAATACAGCTGCCAAAACCGACTATTACGCCGGCAGCGCGGAATTCCTCGGCTAATGGCGTCGTAACACAATCGTGTACCAAAAAATATGGGCGCACGAATCGTCGGTTAAAGCGTGGAATGGAACAATGTTGCGTAAAGAGAGAAACGCATAGGATGTCCATTCGGATCGAAAAGAAAAAAAAATACGAATTCGCGAACGCCCAGCCGGCAAAAATTCGCGGACGGATCGGATCCGCGCGCCAGCCACTTTCTCGTCCCCCGTTCCACGCGTTCTTTTATCATCGCGGGGATCAAGATTCGTCCTCGATTTTCGCGCGATTTATATCCCCCCTGGTGGAGAGGTTCTACGAAACGGGAATCAAAAAAGCATCGGCACCCGTTACGGTTCGTCGTTTCGATGCGGCGTAGCCGTAATGGGCCGCGATCTCGCGCGAGCGCGCGCGGATTCTTAGCACAATGCCGATTTCTTTGCTCCCCGGCTCGCTGCGGAGCCGACGGTGCCGTCGACGACGACGACCGGCGAGGAGCAGCTGGGCTTCCGGCATTGCCGAGATTACCGGCGAACTTCGACTTTCACCGATCAAGAAAAAATCAGCATCTTTTCCGTTCAAACAACGGCCCCGAGCTACATAGGACGATCGAACATTATATTCATAAATAGCGTACCAACATGCTCCATTGTACTTTCTCATACGGTTATCGAAGCTGCACCAGATGGATACGGATCGTGATTATGGTACACTTTACCCTACACATCTTAGCAGGTGCACTACGTTTTCCTTTCCTTCTTTTTTTTTCGTTCCGGAGAATATTCTCGGTGATAGCGAACTGTCTGGAATGAACACAATCTCGAGCTACAGTAATGTCTCCCTAACTGACGCTCAGATTGTGCACACAAATGGACGATTTGGGAACAGGAGATACGATTATTCGAGCCTTGCATAACCTTGACATAATCTTGACAATTCGTAAATGTAAAAACGAACCGCAAGGCTCGAATAATCGTATCTCCTCTTACAAAAATTGTTCATTTTTATGGACAATCTGTGCGTCAATTAGAGAGACATTACTGTACCTCTCTAGAGAAAAAAGATAGAGTGGCCGATCCTGACGTTTCGCTGATTATTCTGTTCACCGGTTGTTTAGGCTTGTGTCCGTCCGTTTCAAATGAAGTTTGTCTTGCAATTACTAGATTGCATCGTATCTTTAGATATTCGTACAAAGGAACGGTATCATTGTTTCAGCATTTCGTCAAGAAATCTTTTTCGCAGGCGGAAGAAATGGTCTTCTACTTTCAATTTTGATTGAACTGACTAGGAATACAGCGGTTACGATTCTCACGATTGCTATAGCAGACAATAAGATTGCCGAACCCCAATGTGGTACTAGATAAAACCAATTTTAGAGTTGCTTGCGACAAATCAACTGTTTCTAACAAATCGACGCAAACAAATGTTTTTTCTCCTTTCTAGAGAAAAAAGATACAGTCCCTGATCCTGACGTTTAGCCGATTATTCTGTTCACCGGTTGTTTAGGCTTGTGTCCGTCCGTTTCAAATGAAGTTTGTCTTGCAATTACTAGATTGCATCGTGTCTTTAGATATTCGTACAAAGGAACGGTATCATTGTTTCAGCATTTCGTCAAGAAATCTTTTTCGCAGGCGGAAGAAATGGTCTTTTACTTTTAATTTTTATTGAACTGACTAGGAATACAGCGGCTACGATTCTCACGATTGCTATAGCAGACAATAAGATTGCCGAACCCCAATGTGGTACTAGATAAAACCAATTTTAGAGTTGCTTGCGACAAATCAACTGTTTCTAACAAATCGACGCAAAGAAATGTTTTTTCTTCTTTCTAGAGAAAAAAGATACAGTCCCCGATCCTGACGTTTAGCCGATTATTCTGTTCACTGGTTGTTTAGGCTTGTGTCCGTCCGTTTCAAATGAAGTTTGTCTTGCAATTACTAGATTGCATCGTGTCTTTAGATATTCGTACAAAGGAACGGTATCATTGTTTCAGCATTTCGTCAAGAAATCTTTTTCGCAGGCGGAAGAAATGGTCTTCTACTTTCAATTTTGATTGAACTGACTAGGAATACAGCGGTTACGATTCTCACGATTGCTATAGCAGACAATAAGATTGCCGAACCCCAATGTGGTACTAGATAAAACCAATTTTAGAGTTGCTTGCGACAAATCAACTGTTTCTAACAAATCGACGCAAACAAATGTTTTTTCTCCTTTCTAGAGAAAAAAGATACAGTCCCTGATCCTGACGTTTAGCCGATTATTCTGTTCACCGGTTGTTTAGGCTTGTGTCCGTCCGTTTCAAATGAAGTTTGTCTTGCAATTACTAGATTGCATCGTGTCTTTAGATATTCGTGCAAAGGAACGGTATCATTGTTTCAGCATTTCGTCAAGAAATCTTTTTCGCAGGCGGAAGAAATGGTCTTTTACTTTTAATTTTTATTGAACTGACTAGGAATACAGCGGCTACGATTCTCACGATTGCTATAGCAGACAATAAGATTGCCGAACCCCAATGTGGTACTAGATAAAACCAATTTTAGAGTTGCTTGCGACAAATCAACTGTTTCTAACAAATCGACGCAAACAAATGTTTTTTCTCCTTTCTAGAGAAAAAAGATACAGTCCCCGATCCTGACGTTTAGCCGATTATTCTGTTCACCGGTTGTTTAGGCTTGTGTCCGTCCGTTTCAAATGAAGTTTGTCTTGCAATTACTAGATTGCATCGTGTCTTTAGATATTCGTACAAAGGAACGGTATCATTGTTTCAGCATTTCGTCAAGAAATCTTTTTCGCAGGCGGAAGAAATGGTCTTCTACTTTTAATTTTTATTGAACTGACTAGGAATACAGCAGCTACGATTCTCACGATTACTACAGCGGACAATAAGATTGCCGAACCCCAGAGTGGTACTACACAACACCAATTTTAGAGTTGCTTGCGACAAACCAACTGTTTCTAACAAATCGACGCAAACAAATGTTTCTTTTTTCGCAAAAATCTGCAGTTCAGTTAAACGTTCTCATACAAGAATTACGATGCTCTTATTGCGGCAAAGATATCTACAAAATATTTCCAAAAAAAGAAGCTTTTAAATAAGAAAATTCGAAAATCAGCGCGAATCGTTAGTAGACGCAGAACTAATAGTAATCGACAGGCTCGCGTTCGGCACGAGCACAAGTTACGCAAACGATAAAGTACTTACTCCTGCGAGGGTTTGAAAATGCTTCCATTGATGCCGTCCGCATAATCCCAGACAAGAAGATATTCCCGTTTTGCAGACGCGCGGATATCCATAACCAGAACTTTGTTGAATAAATGACGCTTCGTTCACAGAGAATAATCACCGACACCTCGGGGAAACACGATCCACACGGGGCACAGCGCCGACACGTTGCACTTCGAAACAGAGATCTGTCTGAATGCCGAGCTGGTCGCGTCGCGTGTCGTTCCGAAACGATCGTTGACTCGGCGTCGTTCAATCGCGTACATTACTCGACAACGAGGCTGAACGCTTTAACGATAATGAACGTTCCTCAAATCTATAGATGCTCCTCTTGCTTACTCCCTTCCGATCGCGAGGCCGATCCTCCTCGAAACCACCTCGGAATTCGTCCGAAGGCGCAAACACAACTACTCCGCGATCCGCCTCGACAGCGGCGAAAGATTTATCGAAAATCCTTGCTTGCCAAGATTAGAGAATTCGCTTACCGTCAGCCTTATCAGACAGCGAGAGATAATATTATCGTAATATTATATTTCTCACGGCTCCGCGCTCGCCGATTACAATCGGAGAACCTGTCCCAGCGTTGGACCGATCGAAAGTCAATGTGACTAGATTGGTAAATAACGGATCCGTTTCTGCATCGGGAGTCACGTATCGGCCGAGCTGCTCCTCAGGATCGTTCTTCGGTGCAGGCCGCATGCATTTCTCTCCGATCTTAATTAATCACGAATTCGCATTCGAAATGGAATCGCATTAGGAGCAGCAACGGCAACGTTTAACGGCTGCAGCAACAACAACGGCGGCGGCGACGGCGACGGCACCGGCGACGAAACGAAAGCACTTTCACTGGAAAACTTTTCCCGCGGCACGATCGATTCGCGATCGTTAATTGACCGGGAGAATCGTTTCGGAGTGTCGATAGCTGGCGAGCGACCAGCGGCGGCCGCTACAACGACGTTCCGCCGTGGAGTATAAATATTTTTCTTTCCGAGAGGCCCGTGGTTTTTTTTATCTTAATCGGCCGCGAGAGTGCACGTATCGCTTTATCAGTTCACGAGAAACGACACCGTGAACGTTTTGATTTGCTCGGCGTGCCCGGGCCCCGGCTGCAACGGGGACAATTAATCTCCGCGCGGTTATACGCGGAATTGTGTTCGGCGACGGTAGCGCATCGAGGATGACTCGAACCAGTCCGAGAAAATCGCTCGTTCCCCGGAACGATTAATTGATTAATCGCGCAGCACCGCGAAATCACGGCTTTCTCCTCGACCGGAAAGATTCCCTGCTCCTCGACGCACTCGTGCCGCGGTGTCCATCGGCGGTCGGTCCTCGGTCCTCCCGTAACCTCTCCGATCCTGTCCCTCCGTTGACAAACGAACTTTTTGACAGATGGCCCGGACGGTACGCACGAAAATTAGCACAAGGTTGACCGAGCACTGAGTCACGGGAGCTCCAAGGTACGTGTCGGTACACCGCGAAACCCCGGCGAAACTCGCTGCGTACGATCCACGCTCGTAAATCCCGTTCTCGGTAAATCATCCGCGGGGCCCGCGTATTTCCAGCGGCGCGTCCACGGGTTCGGGCCCTCGATGGAAGTCGTCGGTCAGACCACGACCGGACGATCGTTGCTCGTCGGTCCGATACCAGGTCCACACCAGGTCCAGCACCGGGTCTAACAGGAGCAGCAGGTTGAATCAGCAGCGCGGGATCGCCGGATGAATCGTGGCCACGCGCGCGCGACGAAATGCAGGCTGCATCGGCGACCAACAAGTGCGCTCTACGGATCCAGACGTTGGGACCGCTCGGCGACGCTCAACCGTTCTGGTCTAATCGAGGCGATCCACACGGCCGATGCGGTTTCACGACAGAGGAACAGGGACAGAGAAAGACAGAGGGAGACAGGGAGAAAGAGATAGAGAAAGAGAGAGAGAGAGAGAGAGAGGGAGAGAGAGAGGGAGAGAGAAGGGGGTTACATCAGATCACCGAGACACGCTGCTGCTGGTTTCCACGGTGAGATGACACACCGATCGAGAACGGATATATCTGCTGTTCGGTCCGGTTGGGTCCGGTTGGGTCCGACGACGAGCTGCTCGAGACCGACAAATGGGCGTCCGGATCCAGCTGGGCACCACGAAGCTGGCCCGATTCGACACGAGAGACCATGGCGTATGTGCACGAGCCGAGCCGGACCCGACGGCACGAACCGGTGCGAAGGGAACCTTCGACGTCGCGAGAGAGTGTGTAAGAGAGACCCGAACGGGCCCCAATCTCACTAGAGGGGACCCCTATAGCGCCTTTCTCTTAACTCCGGGCCCCTCGGCCTGCGTGCGTCGAGCGACCGAGAATTCCTCGCGAGAAGCGTTTCGAACATTTTTCCTGACCGACGCGAGATGCTTTCTGCAACTTATTGGGACTTACCCGATGATTAGGTCCAGCCAGCACACGAACCTTGCGGCGTAGTCGTTCGTTCGGTAACACGGAGTTGTACGGATATCGAGGAAGATGAAGGAGCTGCGGTTTTAATCTGCTAAATCGTAATATTTGTCCGTGGTTGTTTCGTTCGTTGAAATTATCACTTAATGATTCCGTTCCGGCGGGAAGCAACTGCGATTTGAACGTTGTTCGTGCTCTGCTCCGTTCTGTGGATGTATCGGATAATTTCTAGGCTTTATTCGAGCTTGGTTTCCTTCCAGGGATTAATTGTGTTCGGACGAGTTTGCATCGTGTTCAGAATTGGAGGCAATGAAAGTGGATGGTTTTCGAGTCGTCGGCACAAAAGACGTCTCCGCTATATCGTGTTTCCGATAACTGTGATAGCTTGGCGCACGAGTACAGCCAGAGAAACAAGCAAATCATTTTTTAATGCTGTGGGTTTGCGTGCTGCTGTGGACTGTGGATTTTTGTGTGATTTCTTTTTGTGTCAATTACTATTTTTCCGTTAATTTTAAATAGTTTATAGGAATACGGTCTTCTACTCATATTTGCCAGACGTAATGACGTCATTTTAACAACGTTCGGCTGTCCTCTGCTTTTGACAAGTTTAAATCCTAACTTGCTCCAAGTCCATTTTTCTTTCGTACAAATGATTAACAATTTAATCGTGTTCCCGACGTACGAAAGAACGGCCAATTGTACGAGTTACAATTTTCGAAACTTTTCAGACTCGCATCGATTATGACAAGCTAGTTAACAATTTTCTATTCCGGACAATCATAGATTTAGACAGGTGTCGCCTGTTCATTGAAAACCTATCGATCTTGCTGTTACTATTTATCTACGTAACGAGGATGCCACGAGACTGACCATTCACAAGCCAGAGACATAATTTCAAGAATGAAAACCGATGCTTTCGAGCGAGACCTAAATCGAGATCCAGTTTAAGGCTAATTCACAGTTTCGGCTCGTGAAATGTTCGCAGCGATGCCTCTCCGATGTCAATACTTTTCTTACGCTTCGCCGACGTGAAATCACAGTTTTGAATCTCAAAATACCTCGACGGTTCACATATCTTCGTCTCACAGTTCACAAGGTATTCACCGGCAATAATTAGATTCGGCAATATACTTTTCATCCGTTGCTCGTTTCAACGGGAGCCGTAATCATGCTTTAGCTTCGCGTAAAGAAGTATACGTCATAAATTCCATACGATACGTTTAAAATCATATATCGTTCAATTTAGGCTCGGAGTGTCCAAGTGTGAACCTTACTTTACGATCGTTCTCTAAAACTGTCAACATGGTGGCAGACTATCTTAGAAAAGGATGGGGGACAGTGTAACGAAGCGGGACAGACGATTTGATGGTCCGAGGTATTGAGAGGAGTTCCACGCATTCATACTCACATATTTATAGCTTTTGGACTAGCCGGGTTGGGACTACGAAACGCATCTGCTGCTCTAAGATTGGCGCCTTAACTACGGTGGCTATTCCTGCTTTCTTATTGTATTCCACGCGGTAGACTAACATTTTTCTACTTTAGAGGGAGTAACAGCGGCTCCAGTGAACCAAAAAGTATTTGTAAACCTAATTTATTCGTTATAACTTCCCGTACAACAGTGGCATATTAACGCGAGTGTGCATACTTTTTAGTGCTCTATCGTGTGCAGATCTCTACCCCTTTAATTAAGTGTACTATAGGGTTGAAAAGCTTAAACTTTATCGTTCGTTCTCGCAATCATTGCTTAAGTTATTTAAATGGGATGAAGGTATAAACGAAACTGCAAGCTAGAATTATTCCTAGATTCCCTATAGATAGATAGAATCCCTTTATTATTTCTAGAATTAGGATTATTTACCATAACTATTGTTTGAAACCTTGAAACATGCACGAGACTTGAGAAACAACCTCGGAGTTCACCGCGATTTTTAGTACTCGTTTCGATTAGAAAACAAAATAAATTCATTGTACATCGATTAGATCTCGCTCCAAGCTGTTTCCTTCAGTGAATTACTGCACAAATGGATTCTACCGTGCCCGTGATACGTAGTCCAAACATTCCCACGACGAAAACGGTGAGCATATTATGTTGATACCCTACAATTTTATTGTCCCGGAGAATGGTCCATCCATTACGAAGTGCGCTATTGTGTTCGATGACTATGGGAATTTAAAACCATCGAATGGATTACACCGGGTTCCACTGAATTGTATAGTACAGAATCCTGGCATTCCAACAGCTAGTTTCTATCGGGAGATTCGCCGAGCGTCCATCGTTTAGTTTAGAACAAATGCGTTGCTTCCAATTAGATCGCACGGAGAGGTATCTTTTTTTTCTCTTCGTTCCTCCGCTCGAGATTACGGCGAGCCTCTGTGTGGGTTTAGAAAGCTAACGGATTCTTCCATGGACTTAGTTATCACGCTTATAACTTCATTGTTTCCCAAGTTCCGGAGCCATAAGTACCGGCGTAGGTGCAATTAGATCGGAGATCCGTATCCTAGCGCAGTACAAGTAATTTTAAGTGACCGAACATTCAATGGATTCAACAGGGCTCGTTTTTCTTTATGACTGCATTATCAGTCGCAGATCTTATCTGGTTTCAGGCGGTTTATTTTCTTTTGCGGCACCAAAATGGCTGCTCGCCGCGGAAACCGCAACCAGGTAATTCGAAACCATTGGACTACATTTTCTACGGGTTAATCACCGACAATGCTTGCCTCCTGCTAATACGCGTATGTTAACTGCAATATTTTTAGCCATGCGTTGTCACGGCGCGTTTTATTAAATTACAGCGATCTTTAGTCATCCATTATTAACATCAACATCATTGCGTAATACGGAATGTATGTAATATTCTCTAGAAATCCTTCTGGCAACATTTAAACATTATGTAAGTAGAACTTTGCGCATTTATTAGAAAATTTAAACGTTTTCAGTATTACCTTCAATTTATTCAAACGATTAAATAAAGACATTACTGTTTGGTCTTGCCATTGATGCAAGAGTTATTTATTTTATGCGAAAATAATCGCCGTCTAATCATAAACTTGAAACGCTTGCTGAACTTGTTCAATTAATTTACAAGAACAATGTGCAGGAACGTATACATTTTTATATTCAAATAATTCCTATTTCTTTAATTATCTTCTCCTTATTCAATTTCCAAATAATTCCAAGTAAAATCATAATTTTAACGAAAGATTCATGGTTAACAGTAGTGTGCAAAATGTATAAAATTAAAAGCGTATGTAATAATTTTTATAGCTTGAGAACAGTAATGTTTTCGAAAATATTGCGAATATTCAATGATTCAAGTTAGGAATGGACGTAATACAAAATTCAACTCGCTATTGATCTATTTTGTATTTAGTTTGTTGTTAATCATTGTATATATGTACAGCTTCATACTTGCCTTCTACTCCTTTCTGGTTAGTCAATTTCTGGACAAGTTTCTTCTTTTATTGTAGTTTGCGTCTTAATCCATTGTGACACGTTGAATATTGAAGAAATGATAGCGTGGAAACACGAATAACACTCAGTGTATATATTTAAATGTAAATTAATTTATAATTTACACGTCACACTTAATTTAAATTAAGTTAATCGCGCACAAACTTTCGGATCTCGGTTTCATTTTAACCGTTAGCAGTTAGTACTATAGTTCGCCGTCCTCAGAGTTGGCAGACCTGCTGCGCGTCGACGCGTCGACGCCCAAGCATTTAATACACTAACAACAAGTGGGTGTTGAATATTAGTTTGGTAATTCGTATTTTGTAGTGACTAAAGAATATATGACAGTTTTTGAGTAGACTAAAAATGGCAGTTTTGGAATCTTGTTGGTCACCATTTGTTTGGACTAATAGTGTTAAGACAGGATGCAAAGCAATTGCATTTTACACAATTGTATGTACTTCATTGTTAAATTAATTTTCTACAGCTGCAATCTTTTATTTACAACGTTTTAATGATGTGCAATAAATTTTTCATTTTCAGGCAATCTGTATAATCCTTATTACATTAGTCTCTTATCAGTTACAAGGAGGAGATTCGTCACAACTATATAATCCTTTATTCGAGGCTGATGTCAGAGGATGTAAGTTACGATGCATATATAAAAATGTCTATAATAATAATATGTGTTTTATGTATATTCTTTTAGCTATGCAAGTTGTTGGAGGCTTCTTCATCGCTTATTTCGTTCTTCTCATCATATCGTCAATATTAATGGTACATGGAGTAAGAGAGAGAATACGAGGCTGGTTGTTGCCTTGGCTTATATTATGGTTTATCGCGTGTACCTTCCAACTAGTTTTTGGGCTTTGGCTCGTGGGAGGATACTACATCTATGTAAGTTTTTAGATACATTAGAAGTGGACTTCTGAATTTTGTAAATTAACGTGCTGGTATTTATTTTTTCCAGCTCGAAGCAACATTTGCAGCAATGTGTCTATGGCTTTGGATGTCGTATAATGTAAGTATAATTAAGATTAATACCTGTAACATCCGCTAAAAGCTGAGACCACACCTATAGTAGTATATTTTCATTTTCTTTCAATATTATTTGTAGGTATATTGTTGGTTGGTTGTTTTGTCTATGTACAAAATATTCGAGAAGCTGCAGTCTCCGAATATAGAGCTGCTATGGCCTTAAGTACTTGTGTAAGTACTTTCGAGACATAAAGTACATTGATTGGCACCAAAGTAAGATACAATGTTGTTAGAGATGAGTTTATCAGATTTTATTTTATATATTTTTATAAAGGTTAGCCAAACCGACACCATTATTTACAGTAGTATAACCACGATTATCTGCCATGCTAACTTGCTTATTATTATTTATTTCAATACATATAATACTATTGATATTATTAACACATAAGTACCATACTTAAGTGTCATTAATGTACAATTGGTCCTAGATCCTGAAGATCTAGGATTTTCGTTTCATAACGGAAGACTGATATTGGTCTAAGAAAACATCCGTCCAAATTTTGAAGATCTTTATACTTCTGTTGATAAATTTATATAATAGAGAATTTTTGTAGCTGGTTGCTTTACACAACCAATAGTGCATGCATATGTAATACATTTTCATATGAAACATAAATATTCCAGTACTCTAGTATGCCTAGAAAATCTGCGATAGAGACAAGTAACAAATGTTAGTATAATTTATACTTAAGAGCTCGACAAATCTAGCTGTATTTCGCACAAATATCCGAAACCCGAATGTGATTATTCGCTGTACGTCGTGTGACGAAAAATAACTTGATATTATTTTTCTAAATGAGAACGAATAAATTACCAAATAAATTTAATCAACACAACTGAGAATTCAGTAATCCTTCAGGTAGCCGAGAGCGTCGGTTACCTCCCCTACTGACTTCGATGAACGATGATCTCCGTGATCGTCGTGTTGGATGAAGATCGATAATTTTTATTGTTTTTAATTATTTAATGTTTATAACCATTTATTTTGCAAGAAAGCTATCTAGTTCTCGCAATAACGAAAGAATTTTAATTCCATAAATCGATCGATGGATTGTTAAAACAACTTCTTCTGTTAATGATCTCTCGTCTGTTTTAGAAGAGTCTTTTGAACGCGCCGTATGAATCTGTAGCTTCCAATTATAAAACGTGCCGTAATACAAATTAGGTATACGTAATACTCGATTCTCACGAGGTATACCTTGTTCGTGCTGATGCATTGTGTATAAAGTCTACTCCTATACCACGTCGTTGCTATTTTTGTCTCAACTGCGTTGATATCTTCAAATTTTGTATTATAACTTGGCACGGGCCACCATAGATGGCGCGAACATGCACTTACAAGTATCTCTCATAGTATTTAATTTTATAACATCCTGAAAGAATAATTACAAAAAGATTTCAATAAATCCGGCTCTACACTTTAAAAAGTGCAATTCTGGTTGTAAAACGTTCATTCAAGTGTTACGGCTAGCACAGTACCCAACACTAATTGCAAGAAAAACAAACCAACAATTTATTAGCATTCGTTATAAATTTTAAAATGTTTTAAGCTGTGAAAAATAAAAGTAATTAATATTTTCATTTCTAACTATAAATTCAGAGACATGTCTCACAATGTAATTTTAGTGAGCGAAAAGTGTATTGAACGCAGCGTGCTTACGTTCCAAGCGTATAAAATACGAATAATAATTCAATTAACGCAGTTGAAATGATTTATAGTTTCAACTGCATGTTATCCAACGATAAGGTCAAGAACAAAATTTTTTTTTAATCAGAATTCGCGATCGTAGGTGCGGTGTTGGTAGAAGAAACTTGGTTACTTTCTAAGTCTCTTAAGTTGTACTGTTCCTGATACGGAGATTAATGACGGCTCGAGAAATCCTCCCTCGTGGACCACCGTGTTCGTGTCTGTCGAAGTCAATATTAATGGACCGGTACCAGTGAAATGTTTCGTATCTTGCATGTAATTAGCGACTCCAGCTGTCCGCGGGAGAGAGTGCGTGCGCTTGACAAATTTTCACGAAGCGATGCTCCCGCACGTAAAAGTGAAGATCGCAATCGCGAACGATAACGCAAAGCCTTTCGAGAAAGTTTTATTTATTGTTATCGGTTCATAATGAAATTAGATCGTCTTAATGGCTACAAACAGTGATCATTATTCGTGAATTGCTTTCATTCGAATAGCACTTTAACAAGTCCGTACTACCAGTTCAACCCTGGCATGCTTATGGGAAGGTCAAGAAATGTTCACAGAATTTTAAATATGTATCTCTGTTTTAACAATGTTCTTTTATACATCTTTTTTATTATATAACATAAAATATATTATTAAAATGCATTATCACATAGTCCAATTTGGATTTGGACTATTATTTGTTTAAATTGATCAACCACGCCGAAGAAACATTTTTTTAAAATATTTTCAATAATATTAACTGTCCATGATTTTAGGTCAGATTTAGCTTTGTACCTTACAGAATAGAAATGTTCGCAGCGTTAATTAACTATGAGTCGTAAATCACGCGTGCAGCGATCGAATTGTATGCAATCGAAGTATAAAGAAAGTTTCCATTATTGCCGTTCGAGATCAAAATGGCGAACACCAACAAAATATGGTAAAATCGAAATTTACGACCACGGGAATTTTTTCAACGCGACTTTCCTCTGTCGACAATGGTTTCGTAAAAGATGGTAGGCATAATAACGTGCAGTCTTTATTGTCACGACGATACTTTCACTTCCCGAACGACCACACCCCGACCAATCGATCCCCGATGATCGTATAAGCGTCTATAAACATTTGTACAATATCGATTCGAATTTATAACGGTCCAGTTGTCCAGTTTATTAAAGATTGTAACATGCTGCCGCTTTCACATCTTTTTTATATTTGCCTCGATGCAGAAATTCTCATCGAAACTGAGTTACTTCGGTTACATCTGACCTGTGAAAAAAAAACAATTTAACACTAACCCTACCGCGGTCAAAGTGACCGCTTTCTTATTTTGCAATTCTGAAAAGTTCCGAGACTCTTTCGTGGAAAACGCTTGAATAAGTTATATTATTGGAGCAAGTTTTATAATAAAAACTTTACAAATTCTAAATAAATTCGGTCTTCTCACTTTTGTGAAGCAGTACATGCCAGTTAGTATTACTGCTTGGTAAGTTTAGTGTTAACGTGGAGATTCAACCAGTTAGCTGTGGTGTCTTCTTTTTAGAACGCGCACCTATATGTGAGCCGTTTATTTTGAAAGTGGCATAAGTCACTTTTTCAAAAGAATCGAGTTAATGGTAACACTAATTACAATTGAACGGTATCTTTTCATTTTTAAAAAAAAGGGACTTATGCCACTTTCAAAATAAACGGCTCATGTGTCGCGAGAACTAAGCGATGACGAGTATACTCGTCGAACACAGAGCAAGTGTCGCTGTTAAAATATTGGATCAAAAAGACGGTTTTATTTTATAAAATTAACAATTTTATTATTAATATTTACTCATTCACTTAACATTAACATATACTACATACATAATAAACGAAAAACGCAGAAAAATCAAATACTTATAAAAGTTAAAGAAAAGGAAGCAAGGAACGATATACAGGGTGTCCCAAAAATGTCTCGCAATCCGAAAGTAGGGGATTCCTGAGGTCATTTGAAGCAACTTTTTCCTTAGCGAAAATGCAATTTGCGGCTTCATTAACGAGTTATTAACGAAAAACAGTAACTAATGAGAGGCGAGCTCAGCTGGGGCGAGGCGGCCGAGCCAACGGCGCCAGCGGTCGAGGCGGTCGAATCCCAGCTCAGCTGGCGCGAGGCGGCCGAGCCAATAAGCGGAACTGGGCTCCGTGCGCTCGTTGGCTGGGCCGCCGCGCGCCAGCCGAGCTCGCCTCTTATTTGGTCAGTGTTTTTTGTTAATAACTCGTAAACGAAGCCTTGGAGAAAATTTTCGCAAAGGAAAAAGTTGCTTCATATGACCTCGGGAACCTCCCATTTCCGGATTGCGAGACATTTTCAGGACACCCTGTATGTATATTAGCACTTTGCACGTCGAACACTAATTTCTAATCTTATTTTTATAACAATGTAAACACCTGCGTGCAGGATTCGCCTGAAAACATTCTAAACGTCTTGAAATTTGAGAATATGTTTTAGTTGTCACTAAAATTACAATTTAAATAGCCACTGGTCACTACTTTCTAGTGACCATTCACCAGTTAGCTGTGTTTAACGAGTATACTCGTCATGACACAGAATACTGTCACTTCTCCATGACGAGTATACTCGTCAAACACAGTTAATCGGCCTAAATTTGATCGGCGGTTAGGATCGATGTCTGTCGATCGGCTATCCACGACGATCGAAAAGTGAAAGGACTCTGTGGCGTTCGTCGGAAAGGATCTCCGAAATGTAGGCGAGTGCAAGTGAATAGGTGCCCGAAGGATCTCGCCCTTGTCTCGCGCAATTATAATCGGTACGACCGATCGATGATCGAACGCGGCGCGCGCGTTTGCCCGTGCCTTCGAGGTTCGCCTTGGCCGTTTCACGACCCGTTGTCCACCGCTCGTTAAGCCGGTTTCGCGATTTACGATTCCGCCGTGCGAACCGCGAATAATCAAGGGAAAAGGACGGAGAGGGAAAGGCCCACGGTGGCGGGACGTCGGGACACAGAGCCCAGGTAAAAGGAACGGAATCGCTCGTAATGACTGTGAAGTATCCCGAGGTGGATCCGCTGCATTATGCTTTCATAAAAGATCACGAGCGAGTCGCGCGCAGATGGAAGAAGCCGAGTCAGATTGAGTTTATGTCGCGCGCACGTAAAGCGAGAAACGCGTCGTTGCGTGCGCGCCGCGTATCGCAATCAGCGTTGCGTTAACTAGCTACATGCCTCTGCCTCTGCCTCGGCCTCGGCCTCGCGCCGGCTCAACCCTGTCGGGGAAAAATTCCGTCGTCCGTTCCGCGCAACTAAAATATCCCGGTTATTAACAAATGCACCGTAAAAACGGTTTATCTTGCGACGCGGCCGGCCGGCCGGCCTGCCCGCCGGCTTCCTGCAGCGATTTCATTCTTGTTTTCGCGCGAATGTAGACGCATTAAGTGATTTATCGTACGCGCGTTCCGCAGTTTTAGAACACGCCGGGACAAGTCCGAGCGCGTCCGCCGTTCCAGCAATAACTGAAACAATAATTAACTCTGTCGCGTCTCGTTACGCGTGCCGTGACCAGTGGACAGCGAAAGTTTCAGTCTTGAAAGCTTATCTGACACCTCGGATCTGCGGACAGCGGAGTTACGAAACGAGCGAGTGTCATCGTTAGAATCCGCGGCGCGGCGTTTCCTTCGCGCGCGCGCGCGCCTCTAGACTGGTTCAAAGTTTCATGCTCGAACGATCTTATATAACGACTTTTACAACGATACGAGTACCCGTTGCCGCTGCTTCTTTATTTCATATCGATCCCGTCTCAACGACACCAGCGGACTTCTACTGCTGCTTAACGCGCGCGTTACATCTCTTGCCTCGCTAATTAAACGATCTATCTGGAAGCATCGCTTCGACCACACTTACTCGAAATTGAAGCGGCTGAACGTGATCTACGCGTATGGATCACCTTTTTTTTTGAATTTCTGCTTCATTTGACGGGGAACTTTGACGCCGGCAAAAATGAGCATATTCGTTAATATGTCGCGGTTCACATTTTACGCGTTTAATCCATTGACTGCCAACTACGAGATATCTCGTAGTAAGCGTCTGTACCAAAACTGTCAGCTACCAGATATCTCGTAATAAGCGTCTGTACCAATACTGTCAGCTGCGAGATATCTCTTAGTGGGTGCTGCAA